GATCAATTTAAACATTAACAAGAAATGTTTAAGAATGGTTGCCCTTAAAATTAATTAAAAAAATTATCAGATTTCGGACAATCCCATTAACGCAAGGCCGGCGCCACCCTTGGGCGAATTAGGCATTCGCCTAGGGCACTGGCCTGCTGGGGTGCCCACCATTGTTTCCTGGTGGGCTCCCCCCGTCTGGTCCGCAGCGCTGGGCGAGCAACTCTAGAGCCACTCCTCCAGGCGCCTGAAGGTGGGGGCGCCCAGATATGCTCTGTAACAGTATGGCAGAGCAGGCACCTTCTTACCTTGATGACAGGTGCCTGCTCTGCCATCAAATGTTGGTGCCCGGAGGAGAATGCAGGTGGTGGAGGCTTTAATTGCAGCCTCACTCCTCCCTCGTGAGCCCTGGGACCGGGAATGTCATATCAGCCCTGGCATACTAAACGGCGCGCTGGAGGAGTGAGGCTGCCCCACACTGGATCCTAGGGAGGTAAGTGTGTCTGTCAGTGAGTGGCGGTAAAAATCTTTGCACCTCCCTGCATTAACTATTCCAAATTCTCTATTCAGGTTTAGGTTTTCCAGATTTTAACTTATTCTATAGCAGTGATGGCGAACCTTTTTGAACTTGAGTGCCCAAACTGCAATACATGCCAACTTTTTTCCCCTCAAATTGCCAACATGGCAATTAAACCTGAAAACTGAGGTTTAAGTTTAGAAAAAACAACTTGTACAGTTGTCTGAACTAATTAACAACTTATGTTTTAAAAGAACACAACTGAGTTTAATGATACAAATTTTAAATGATACTAATAAATATGTTTCATTTTATCTATTTATATCTCCAACAAATGCAATACATACACAGACGTGCGCGCAGTCCGCATGCATTCAGCGGACTGCGCAGCACATACACATACCGGCACGCGTGCAGTCCGCTTGATGCGTGCGCACAGCACCACTTTTAACACTTTTTTTTTTGCTTAATTGGATATCTTTTATACGTGGTTCCACACTATAGTGTTTTCTTGAAAAAGATAGCAATTGATCCCCTTCTAACTGTTTCTAGGGAAAGTTTTAAAGTGTGTGCATGTGTATTGGCAATGTCCCAAGTCATTAAACTATGGGAAGTGCACTACTTCACTTTCACTTGCTGCCTGGCAGCTTACTATTGTTTCCTAATAGATTAGCATTGCATGACTAGTATACAGGCCAGCCTACTAAACTCTCATTGGCTGTTTGCACCAAGGGGTAGAGTAGTTGTAACGAAACATCCCTTGGTACACTTGGATTGAGGTATGTGCTGGCTTCTTCCTTCCATCTCAACGTTTCAGCTGCAGTTAAGATACAGACGGTTGTAGCTCTATCCCCAAATTGCAGCAGTTGCTTCTGCCTTTTACTTAGACTGGTGGGAGGCGGTTTTTAACATATGGTGCCTGCCACCAATGCACTCTCTTCCCAGCCAGCTCCCTCATTCCCTGTCTTAATAGCTTAAGGCAGGCACCATTTCAACCACCTAGTGCTTGCTTCCATAGGTTAAATGACCCATACCCCACATGCAGCATGGCTGGTGAGCGCACATAGTGACAGGCACTACTTGAATAGTAACAAAATAGATATCTGCAAAGGGGAAAATAAAACCACTCATAGAGTAGTAAATCAAAACCAGTAAGCATATTTGGTTCAAAGTTACACTCACACAAATTGGTTGATTGTAGGCATGTCAAAATTATTAAATGTGGGAAACAAAATTACACAACCATAAGTGCAGATTTAAAGGACCATATAGTGCGCTAAATTAAGTAACACTTACACACTAGACGTGGTGTTCAGGCATATAATGGTCTCAGAAGGTTGTTACTCCAAGAATAGAATGTTACTCCTTGGTAATAGTATGGAAAATTTGCGAGGACCCCACAATCACATGGCCAGGGGGGCTGCCTGTAATGACAGGTGGTCCCCCTGCTGGCTGAAAATAAAATTAAAATTAAATTTATTAGTGTAAAAAAAAAAATATATATATACTTAAATCATTTTTATATGCAAAATGGCTTGATTCACTATTTCAAGCCCCTATAGCCGTATTGGAGACGTATATAAAAGACACACCTAGTTTAATTATAAAATTGAAACAATTAAATCTGAAAAAGGGCACTACAGTGTTGATTACCATGGATGTAGGTAGCCTTTATACCGTAATTCCACACAACCAAGGCGTAGAGGCTATGAGAACAGTCCTTACGACATCCTCTACCTATAAAGGACCACCCATAGAATTTGTTCTTGAACTCCTCTCTTGTGCTCAATAATAACTACTTTAGATTTGAAGAGCAGTGGTACCTTCAGATCTCGGGCACGTCCATGGGGGCGGCTATGGCCCCCATGTATGCTAATGCCTATATGTACATATACGAACGGCATTGGATCTTATCGAAATTTGGGCAATATATTCAAGGCTACTTTAGATACATCGATGATGTGCTGATTTTCTGGAGCGGTAGTGTTATGGAGGCTATGGAAATGGTACAATTTCTCAATCAAGCGGAGAGCCCCATTAGGTTCACGGCAAATATCAGCCTGGCCTCCGTCCAGTTTTTGGATTTGGAGATAGCCATCAATGAGGAGGGACTGGCCTACCGCCTCTATCAAAAACCTACGGACCGTAACACCATCTTACATAACACAAGCGCACACCCCTAAGGCTCAATTTTTGAGAGTCATACGTAACAACTCAGATGAGAATATAATGGAGAGACAATTGGAGGAGATGATGGTAAAATTCCTTGAACGTGGCTATAAACGAGATGACTTAGTTAGAGCGAAATTAGAGGCAAAGTCTGCCTGCTCAACTAAAGCCAAAAGTGAAGCCCAAAGGCTAGTCTTCCCTGTAATTTTCCATGATGCATCCCCAGTGATATCTAAGATTGTCAAGGATAACTGGAAGGTGTTTAAAGAACCCCCCCCCTCATGTGCTATCGCAGAAATAAGAACTTAAGGGACCTGTTGGTCCATACAGACCCAATAAGAAGCTATGAAGTAAAGAATACCGAAGCACAGAATCGGGGTAGCATTCGCTGCTTGGGCTGCGTCACTTGTGGCCATATCACACCGTCCCGTACTTTCCAGCATCCACACAAGAAAAAGATTTTTCAGATACGGCACACCATCACTTGTAAGACTCCATATGTGGTGTATAAGTTGTCTTGCCCCTGTGGACTCTCATACATCGGTAAAACTGAGACACCCCTCTGTGAAAGAATTAGGGGACACAGATCGAGTATAAGGGTGGCGTACCGTGATGGGACATCTGACCAACTGGTGGCAAAGCATTTCCTCGCCTTTCAACATCCACTTTCAGCCCTTAAATTCTTGGCAATTGACCATATACCACCGCCAAAACGTGGGGGGGATAGAGGCAAACTCCTTTTGAATAGCGAGACATTTTGGATTTATACCCTGGACACTATAGCCCCTAAAGGACTGAATGAAATGATCTCGTATCATTCATTCATATAAGTGACTTGTAACAAAAACATTTTTTTTTTTCAGCATCATTGTTTTTAATTTTGTGATTTTTATTTTATTACTATTTAGTAATATGTAATTTTAATATTGTTAGGAACATTAGTCTTTGAACCTATATATAGGTCCCTTTCTTTACAGCCTTAACCCCAATTACCCTGTTTTACGCATCTTTAAAGAATATTA